AAAACGAAATTTTCATTTTCTATGGCTAAAAGCGATTGCTAAGGATAATATATACACAAATATTTATATATCTGCACGTGCTATTGAAAAGGGGATTCAAACGCTTGATTAAATGTGTCGTTTAACTAAATCAAACTTGATTCAAACGTAACTGTAAGCTGGACTCCGTGTACAGTGTGTTTGATATATAGGTAAATGTAAATGTAATCCTGAAATTAAATACTCAATCGATATTTCAAGATAATGAGGGTGTCTCTATGTTAAATATACCAGTGTGAAACCGTTGGTGGCTCAATTCAAATGATATTCAATCAACTTATCCAGAGCTGATAGCGTTACAGGTGTATTAAACAGGTCAATAGTGCTGCCAGTTTACCTGTGCGTAAAAGACAATAGAGGAATTCAGGCGACTGTATTTATTCAGAAACATCTGTATATATTATCATACCAAAGAGTACACATACTATAACAATGGGTTAAATCGTATTGAAACCTCTGCCTTCATTAGCGTGTAAATGTAGATCTCGTATACTGAGGCCAACTCCATGTAAGCTAAGATACAAACTCATGTAAATGGCACAACTGACCCGAGAATAATAAAGTAGGATTCTGGCAACAGTTGCGGAATAAAATGTGGACAAATCATAATACAATCTGGTGTGTCATATTGCAAATCTCAATACCGTGTTGATCTTAAAACCAATAGGGTACACACATAATTCATATAGCTCCTTACAGGTGTGAGGACAGGAAACACAGAACAGGTAACAATACCTATGTACAGGTGTGCCAAAAGTCTGCGACACTGCAGACACACTCGTCCAGTAGTAGTCTACATAATCCATACCTTATGAACATTAAATCCACCGAATATGTCTCACAATTGTTTAATATATCACCGCTACTAAGCGACAACGTGTTTCTACGAATACGGGTTATATACCTCCAAAAACCCACTTCCGCCCTTCTTAAATTTCCTATCGCACAATCGATGATATTGAGGAAGAATAAAGCATAACGTATCACATATTTGCATACACAATCCATTTCTTTTATATAAGATTTGTGACTATTTTTCTAACACTATTATATGTGCATGTTATACACCTGTTGGTTACTGTCGTATAAAGAAATCATGGCGTCACAACGGCTTCAGTGACGTCATTCTTCTCGTCCCTCGGGGTAGCCACATCTTTATCCTTCCCCTCTCTCGGGACATCCGTGTTTGAAGGGGGAGAAGAGGGATCCTGTGTGTTCATTTCTGTCCGGGGAACATTTATGGTGGAAAGTACTTCGCCGTTCAATGTTTTAGGAGCACGTGTGGAGCGCGTGCTTTTGAAACTACTTTTATTACTGGGAAAACCAACACTTCCATCCATTCCATGGGTAAGGGTTGACCTTGACCGCGTACCCAAGTTCAAGCGCGCCGTGGTGATGGATTCGAGTTTACTATTAGATCCGCTGTCAATATTAGGCAGAATCAGCGGGGCGAAATGGTCATTTCGGGGACTATTGTAGAGGTCAAGCTGTACTTGTCCATTGATTCTTTGAGATGCTAAATGTTTGGCCCTATTGAATAGTTTTTCGGCATACTGAGGCATCGCTGTGTGTTGTGGTGTCTTTTCAACCTTTGGTTGGTGTTTTACGTGGTGCCGGTAATGCGTGCGGCCAAGGTCAAACCGAGACTGGTGTTTCATGACCTTTCTGGCGGGGAAGTGTTTGTAACCTTTGTCAAAAACCTGGTGCGGTGATCTACTTCCGGGGGATTGGGATGGCGAGTTCGAGTCGCTATGGTCTAGACTCTCCTCATCAGGAAAACCATGATATGTTTTTTGTCTTCTTGTCATAAAGTTTGTACGATAAAATTCAACCTCTCTGGCTTTTCTGTTCTCTGAATCCAAAAGACAGCACTTTTCAGTGAGTTTGTTGGACAAATCAGTAACTTCTTGTTCTCTGCAGCGTTGATTCATATCAGTCAACATTTGTTGTTGTTTGCCAAGTCTCCGCCGCTCGAAGCTGTTTGAGAGTTCCATGATGGCGACTTTCTCTGGAGTTGGAAGCCTCAATTTGTGGTCTCTGTAGGTCGATGTGTATCCCATAGTTTTAAGATTGTCTCGTGTAGGGTCCGTCAGAAACGGGGGTCGAGGTTCGAATTCCTCTAAACACACAGTGGATGTAAACAGTCTCATTGTGACGTCTTCCGATCTCACTTATCGCAGATTTCGTACACACACGTATCAAACAATAGTCACGTACCTTAAGTCATGCTGTAATTATCCCACTGTCATGCAAGGAACGTCCAAAGTGTGTTTATTTCACACCATAGTCCAGAGGAATACCACACAACTAAAGCAGCTTGATTACCGTCCTTTTCCTTAACTCTCGTGTATTACTTTGGGTGACCGCTCTGTATCGCCACCTTCCTCCGCCATTTAACACGCTCTGCAGATTTCTAATTTGAACGTCAGCGTGTTTGTAACCAAGCGAAATTTAAATCCCAGAGAAATATGAGCGATTACCTGTCTTAAAGAAACATTTTAATACCGACAACAAGTGTTGGTTTTACGATTAGCCCTCCGTCAAGGTTCACCGTCAGCCTGGGTATATATGCATTCTCTACTTACTTACAACGGCATACTCTGCGGTATATAAGACTATTGTTCGTATTTCCCTCTATCACTATTGAGTATATCTTCTGGAAGTCGGCGAAGCCTGACATGTATTATGTTTCCTTATCGAACCCGACCTATACACAAGTCCACTGACAAACCACTGTAAGTCTGCACTGCGCAAGACAAAAAAAAACTAACTGGCACAGGTTGATCCAACCCGGGATATTAATAATCAATCATATAGCTTAAGATTTTAAAAGGGGGTATTTATTATAAGCCAATATTTTGGCAAGCATGTATCGGAGCGGGGAAGGTTTGTAAAGTAACGTCACAGAGCTTGAGTAGATCAATAATATTATGACGGGTAACCTGTTAGTTCTACCACAAGTATAGGTAATGGAAGGCGTCGTTTAAATGGGAAAGTGCTGTATTACCTGTTAGGTCTCACCCAAGTAGTACCGTTATATACCTAAGATACACATAAGTTTACATTCACACGACGAGTCTGACCCTAAACAGGCCGCCTCCAATCAGTGAATGGTATAATTGCCCCTCTTGAGGAAACCACACGAGACCTCTATCTGGGAACTTGTATTCACTTTCTTTTTTTAGGGACATACTCTGAGAGGGGGGTCATAAACATGTATCTATGTACATTGCAGTTTCTACTCATACTTAACGCCCAGCAATTTAGGAGTGGGACGACTGGTTCGCCCGTTGTCAGTTTAATGTGAACCGGGTGTCCTGCTGGGTGTCTTCGGCATATGTTTCAGTGAGGTAGCACTATAAAGTCAGAATCAGTTCTGCACTATCACAAGGAGACAAACACGAACATATGATATCGCAGACTCCCAAAACACACACGCATACACTACACGTATGCATCTTGCACACAGGGGAGGCCGTCCTTAAATGCCCATAGCTGTTGATAGGACGTTAAACAATACTAAACCAAACCAAACTCTTCCAGATGTTTTCTGGGCGCCAGACATTGAGTACGAGTATTACTATAATCGACTGTACATGAAGCGATAAGATCCATCCATTGGAATACTCGGGGATAATTGCATAACCGTAGACCGTGTTCACGTCCCTTTTATAAGAGAGTTATGGCGAAAAAAGAATCCGCGTACTTCCCGTAGCTTGTTAGCGAGAATTGAAAGGGGTACTTGTTAAAAAACACTTAGGCCTACGTGATCGGGGGGCATCGTTAATGCCCATAACACTAAACTCAATAAAACTCAATAAAACTCAATTAAAACTCCCATGTTTTGTGATGGTTGATTTGATTTGAGCAAATCGGTTCTCCCGTTTATCTTTTTTTGCCGCGACAATGAAATCAGCTCTCATAAAACGTTTTATCTTCTTCTTTTTAAACGTGTTTAAAATGATCTCGAAAAGTTGCTTCCATTACGCCTTGAATTCATTATCGCTGACCTTTTTTCTTGAAGTGGTGTGTCTTGATTAATGAATTGCAATTGTTGGTACTAGAAACAAAGACACTATGTCATTGTTAGTTTAATAAAGTAAAAGAAAGCACGTCTCACTTAAATGAGTAGACTGGTGATATAATAGTTTGAACTTCCTCTTTAACCAGCATTACATGTAACCGTTCCCTAGGAGCATTGTGTAATGTATGCTCTCCTGTAGATTATACTGATTTGCTTCATCGTAAGAGGCGACTAAAGTGAAACCCTGTTCACATAACTAGGGGCTTTCTTCTTCTTGTGCCACAGAAAAGAACAAAATGTATCGTCAGCTTCCCATTGCAACACACGTACGTGGTTCTAGGTTTCCATATTTTTATTATCTGCTTCTTCTTCTCGGCGGAGTTTTCCGAAAAGTGAGTCCACACAAACATCACACTATAGCTTTAGAAAGGACGAACACTCTTTAAACATTCGATATATTAAAAGGGAAATGGCGATTTGGCCAACATAATTGTATATACAATGTAATAACAAATAGATATTAAACTGAGCTCATTCATTAAAAAATAATAATACAAATAAAACCTCATTTTTTTCCGATACTGGAATTTTCTAAGACATGATTAAAGTCAGTCGACACACTAATCTAAGACGGTATTTTTACTTGCGTCATGACAGAAAACATTATGACACAACGATTTTTTTCGCGCTTTTCCGAATAAATTGAAATGTTATGAATGGCACCTTATTTAAATTTAAATCTGTATCTATTAAAGGAGACACGTTCCTAAAGTAAAAAAGCCCAACGCAAAGTGAATTTACTTCATTAGCTGCCTCGAAAAAAAAAGAATCCGGCAAGTCACGTCTCAAACATCGGTAGCTATGACGTCATAATAAGAAAGCCTTATGACCTTAAGGTTCTATGACGTCACAGTTGCACTGACGTACCTTAGTTACGTGTATGCACACACAATTTTGCGAGTGAAGCCTTTTTTCAAGTTTAAGTTCAATTATGGTAAAATCTTTCAAGTCACGTGTTGTGAAACAGACTTCAAGATTGAAGAAAATTCTATGCTGCTGCAGCTGTAACACGAAGGTAAGTAAACAAAAGTTGATCCGAGTTGTCTATATACGTAATTAATCCACCTGTATTTTCTCTCCATCCATCGCGTTTCTTTTTCTTCTCCTTTCAATTTCCGTTCGTTTTCTTGACAATAGCGTTTGTCCAATTTCGATCGTTTAAAAGTCAAGTTTATGTTTGCCGACTGTTAACTTATATTGGAGACATCAATCATGCATTTAATGTACAAGCTATGTTTTGGTTCGTCGAATGGTTCATCAAGTGTATCCTATCTCATAAAGCCCAAGTGATCATTGTAAGTGATTCACTAAAACCCCATGTTTTTAACTGACGCAACTACACGGGAAAAGAAAATATACAGAACCGAATCTGGACTCGAGCCCGGAACCACCGAACTATAGTAAGACGCTATGCCAACTAAATTACATAGTCAAGGACAATTCCCTTTATCAGTCACGTTTTTTCCTGTGTTTACAACTGCGCCCATTAAAATATTAAAGACATTAAATGCATCATGTACACTCCAAAGTAGGATATCCCTTTGATAAGCACACTTAGAATATATACATTTGTATCTAATAACGTTTTATACGGAGGGGGGAATGGGTTGGAAAAATTAGTCTATGCTTTGATTCTCAAACGCATAACATGTTTTGTTGAATGATGGATGCTTTAAATGATGATATCAATATAAGTTTACATCGTTCTTTAAATTCAATGAGTTGTGAGTTTAATTTAATTCAATGAGTTGTGAATTTAATTTAATTCAATGACTTGTGAGTTTAATTTAATTCAATGATAAATTGCATAAATACGATTTTGGCTCAGGGCGTCCCTCTGATAACAATACAGAAGTCACACGTGACTTCCGCTGGTTACTATGACGTCACAATGACAATGACGCGTCTTAGTTACTTAGCTGACGGATTACAGCTGCGACTCTTTATGCTCTCGAACAAGTTATTACTACAATGGGGAAATCGTTAAAAAGAAAATTTCGATCTTTGAAGAATATATTTTGCTGTTGCACCAGGGTAAGTCAAACAAGACACAAGGTTTGTCATGAAAGTCGAAGGGTTCTTTGGTTTATTTTTCATTTTCTGATACCGTATTTAAATTTAGCAACTATGCTGATCCGGAGTTCCGTGTTGATGTACATGTCTCTTCATACTTAAATAATTATATTATTTTTAGGACAGTTATTGGCAGATAGTTATTAGGACAGTAATTAATTTAATACCGAGAGTTATAAGGATACTAGTTGGTAGATAGGTATATGGACAGTAATTGATAGCAATTATTCTAAGGACAGTTATTGAAACAGATAGTAATAAGAACAGTATTTGGTAGAGATAGTTATTAGAACAGTAATTGGTAGAGATAGTAATTAGGACAGTAATTGGTAGAGATAGTAACTAGGACAGTAATTGGTAGAGATAGTAACTAGGACAGTAATTGGTAGAGATAGTAACTAGGACAGTAATTGGTAGAGATAGTAACTAGGACAGTAATTGGTAGAGATAGTAACTAGGACAGTAATTGGTAGAGATAGTAACTAGGACAGTAATTGGTAGAGATAGTAACTAGGACAGTAATTGGTAGAGATAGTAACTAGGACAGTAATTGGTAGAGATAGTAACTAGGACAGTAATTGGTAGAGATAGTAACTAGGACAGTAATTGGTAGAGATAGTAACTAGGACAGTAATTGGTAGAGATAGTTATTAGGACAGTAATTGTACGGATAGATATAAGGACATTTATTGATAGCGATTATACTTAGGACAGTAATTGTTAGAGATAGTTATTAGGACAGTAACTGGTAGTGATAGTTATTATGACATTAATTGATAAAGATAGCTATTAGGACAGTAATTGTTAATGATAGTTATTAGGACAGTAATTGAAAGAGGTAGTTATTAGGACAGTAATTGATAAAGGTAGTTATTAGGACAGTAATTGATAAAGGTAGTTATTAGGACAGTAATTGAAAGAGTTAGTTATTAGGACAGTAATTGATAAAGGTAGTTATTAGGACAGTAATTGATAGTGATAGTTATTAAGACAGTAATTGATGCAGGTCGTAATTAGAACAGTAATTGAAACAGATAGTTATTAGGACAGTAAATGATAGAGATAGTTATTAGAACTGTAATTGGTAGAGATAGTAACTAGGGCAGTAATTGGTAGAGATAGTAACTAGGACAGTAATTGGTAGTGATAGTTATTAGGACAGTAAATGATAGAGATAGTTATAAGGACAGTTATTGATAGAGAAAACAATGTTTGTAAAGAAAACGCTCAATGTAATGGGATTTCCTGACATCCCAAAATGATCCCTTAAAACAAACCCAGTTCCACTTAAACCTTATTTTCCCGGCAAAGTAAGTTTTGTCACTTAGATAGGTCTACACAGAAATATTGGACCTAATTGTATGCTTAGATTCAATGTAACATACCATACTCTATTACCGGGACATTTCGCCCAGTCAAACTGTCGCCCTTCCATGGTAAAATAAATATTCGCCCAGTGTTAATGTTGCTCTTAGCATTTAATAACTATTCATTTTATATCAGTAACTTAAATTCTCTGTAATGATAAATTCGCCTTCTTAGGTAACGCAAAATAGGCGAATATTTAACTGCGGTGAAAATGTCCAAATAGACAGTATAGGTATTTTAGGGGTTTACAGCAGAACAGCCCCCTGTTTATAAGAAGTTTGTTATTAAAACAATTCAAGATAAAATGACTCTTTTGTAAATCTATGTTATACAATTGTTGGATAAGACCACAATCTGCACTTAAGGCGTGCACAGTTTACTCCGATACCCTCTGTTCCTAACTAACGCGAGTGTATGTCTTATCATTTCAGAATCGTGTTGCACCAGCATCATTGGACGAGTGGAGGACGCTAACAAGGTAAGAGATTGTACGGCGTGTAATTAAACTCAAAGACAAATCTTGACACGTTCCGTGTAAGTAGGTAGTTTGAATACATCTGTTAACTCTTGTTGTGAATAAACTTTACTCCTCCAACGTACAATACCGTAGATTACATTACAGTGCGCAATATTGCAGATTACTGTGAGATTTCGATACATGAAATTATCGCATACTTATGCATATACACGTACATGATTACGTATAAATAGTTGTTTACGATGTTGTAGTTTTTGTTTGATGATCATTTCGGGTTAATGGCGGAAATAGATATCATGATAAATGTTATTATCTATATTACGGTAACGATAAGTAATGTCAATACATCTTAAACAGATACATGAACCTGTTACTGATGATTGAGAGGTGATGGTGTTAAATGACATGTATTGGATGTACAAGTACACTCCAAAGTAATTTACCATAACCTTTACCCAAATCATAGCAAATGCGTGTGAAAACTGTTTGTAATATATACACATTTCTATATCTCTCTCTCCCTCCCTCCTTGTATCACTCCATCTCCACCAAACTCCAACTTACCACTCATACTATCAAACTCTCCCCTCTCCATTCTTGTCTTTTCTCTTTCTGTCAATATTACCCTAAATATTTGCTTTCCGTACTCTTTTACTCATTCACCCCTAAAATTTCACGATGAACTATTCCAACCTTTGAATTGGAAGAGAGCAAATGTGTCTTCAGGGGTGAATGAGTTTATTCGTATTTCTAATACATCTTTTACTCACTGTGTACCATCGTAGTTTTACTTCCCTCTCCTTTGCTATTCTCACCTTACATTCTTACTCCTACCTCTTGCTCTGCTTGTCATATTTTCACCTCCTCCTCCCCATTAATTTTTTTCACCTCCACACTCTAACTGCAACCTATCATCTTCCTACCCCTACTCAAGTTTTCATCTTTTCCCATCCTTCCTACCCCTACTCAAGTTTTCATCTTTTCCCATCCTTCCTACCCCTACGACCATTATCCCTGCCCAGAGTTTCGTCCTTCTCTGGCTTCTGCTCCAAATATCGCCCCACTTTGACGTCACTCAATCTGTTCGACCATTCTACATGCAACACTTGAGCGCAAATTAACACCTCTCAGAATCAATTCGCACACAGTCCCCCATTTCATTAACTCCGACGGTTCCCTGTACACCCTCTTCCCTACCCACACATTCACTTCATTGTCATCCCATTTCTACCCCGACTCTTACAATTAACCTCCCAGCAACCCGACACTAACAATTAACCTCCCATCACCCTGACTCTTACCATTAACCTCTCATCACCCAGACTCTAACCTTTAACCTCTCATCACCCAGACTCCAACTTTTAACCTCCATCTACTCCGACTCTAACCATTAACCTCCATCCAACCCGACTCTAACCAGTAATCTCTTATCATCCCGAGTCTAAATATTAACCTCCACTATCCCCGACTCTAACCATAAACCTATCATCATCCCGACTCTAACCATTGACCTCTAATCACCCCGAGTCTAACTATTAACCTCCATTCACGCCGACTCTAACCATTAACCTGTCATCACCCCGACTCTAATTATTAACCTCCATTACCCCGATTTTAACCATTAACCTCTCATCATTATCCCGACTCTAACCATTAACCTCTCATCCCCCCCGACTCTAACTATAAACCTCCATTCACCCCGACTCTAACCATTGCCCTCTCATCACCCCGAGTCTAACTATTAACCTCCACTACCCCGACTCTAACCATAAACCTCTCATCACCACGAGTCTAACTATAAACCTCCATTCACCCCGACTCTAACCATTAACCTCTCATCACCCAGACTCTAACCAAACATCTCATCACCCCGAGTCTAACTATTAACCTCCATTACCCCGACTCTAACTATTAACCTCCATTACCCCGACTTTAACCATTAACCTGTCATCACCCCGACTCTAACTTTTAACCTCCATTACCCCGACTAACCATTAACCTCCATTACCCCGACTTTAACAATTAACGTCTCATCACCCCGACTCTAACCATTAACCTCTCATCACCCCAACTCTAATTATTAACCTCCATCTACCCGGACTCTAACCATTAACCTCACATCACCCAGACTCTAACCATTAACCTCGCTTCACCCAGACTCCAACCATTAACCTCGCTTCACCCAGACTCTAACCAAACATCCCATCACCCCAACTCCAACTTCTAACCTCACATCACCCTGATTCTAACCATTAACCTCACATCACCGATATTCTGATCATTAACCTCCCTCCACCCAGACTCTAACCATTAATCTAGCTTCACCCAGGCCCTTACCAAAGATCTCATCACCTCATCTCTAACCATTAACATCCCATCATCCCAACTCCAATTTCTAACCTCACATCACTCTGACTCTAACCATTAACCTCCCTCCACCCAGACTCTAACCAAACATCTCATCACCTCATCTCTAACCATTAACATCCCATCACCCCAATTCCAATTTCTAACCTCACATCTCCCTGACTCTAACCAAACGTCCCATCACCCCAACTCAAACTTCTAACCTCACATCACCCTGACTCTAACCATTAATCTCGCTTCACCCAGACTCTTACCATTAACCTCCCATCACCCAGACTCTAACCTTTAACCTCGCTTCACCCAGACTCCAACCATTAACCTCGCTTCACCCAGACTCTAACCAAACATCCCATCACCCCAACTCCAACTTCTAACCTCACATCACCCTGATTCTAACCATTAACCTCGCATCACCGATATTCTTATCATTAACCTCCCTCCACCCAGACTCCAACCATTAACCTCGCTTCACCCAGACTCTAACCAAACATCCCATCACCCCAACTCCAACTTCTAAACTGTCATCACCCTGACTCTAACCATTAACCTCGCTTCACCCAGACTCTAACCAAACATCTCATCACCCCGACTCTAACCATTAACTTCCATTTACCCAGACTCTTACCATTAACCTCCCATCACACCGACTCTAACCATTAACCTCACATCATCCTGACTCAAACTATTAACCCGATTCTCTCCGATTCTAACCATTACCCTCTCACCACCCTAACTTTGACTTTTAACCGCACATCGTCCTGACACTAACCATTAACCTCCATTCCTGCCGAATTTAACAATTAACCTCATATCACCTCAGACTCTAACTTTTATCCTCCCATCACCACAACTCTAACCATTAACCTGTCATCACCCTGACTATAACCATTAACCTCCCACCACCCAGACTCTTACCATTAACCTCCCATCACACCGACTCTAACCATTAACCTCACTTCACCCAGACTCTAAATAAACATCTTATCACCTCAACTCTAACCATTAACATCCCATCACCCCAATTCCAACTTCTAACCTCACATCGCCCTCTAACTATTAACCTCCATTCACCTGGACTCTTACCATTAACCTCTCATCATCCCGACTATAACCATTAACCTCCATTCACCCCCGACTCTAACCATTAACCTCACTTCACCCAGACTCTAAATAAACATCTTATCACCTCAACTCTAACCATTAACATCCCATCACCCCAATTCCAACTTCTAACCTCACATCGCCCTGACTCTAACCATTAACCTTTCATCACACCGACTCTAACCATTAACCTCTCATCACCTCAACTCTAACTTTTAACCGCACATTACCCCGACTCTTATCATTAACCTCTCATCATCCAGAATCTAACCATTAACCTCTCATCACCCCGACTCTAACTTTTAACCTCCATCTACTCCGACTCTAACCATTAACCTCGCTTCACCCAGAATCTAACCATTAACCTCTCATCACCCCGACTCTAACTTTTAACCTCCATCTACTCCGACTCTAACCATTAACCTCGCTTCACCCAGAATCTAACCATTAACCTCTCATCACCCCGACTCTAACCATTAACCTCCATCTACTCCGACTCTAACCATTAACCTCGCTTCACCCAGAATCTAACCATTAACCTCTCATCACCCCGACTCTAACCATTAACCTCCACTATCCCGACTCTAGCCATTAACCTCTCATCACCCCGACTCTAACTATTAACCTCCATTCACCCCGACTCTAACCATTAACCTCTCATCACCCCGACTCTAACTATTAACCTCCATTCACCCCGACTCTAACCATTAACCTCTCATCACCCCGACTCTAACTATTAACCTCCATTCACCCCGACTTTAACCATTAACCTCTCATCACCCCGACTCTTACCATTAACCTGTCATCACCCCAACTCTAACAATTAACCTCCATCTACCCGGACTCTAACCATTAACCTCGCTTCACCTAGACTCCAACCATTAACCTCCCTCCACCCAGACTCTAACCATTAACTTCGCTTCACCCAGACTCTAACCAAACATCCCATCACCCCAACTCTAACCATTGACATCCTATCACCCCAACTCCAACTTCTAACCTCACATTCCCCTGATTCTAACCATTAACCTCACTCCACCCAGACTCTAACCAAACATCCCATCACCCCAACTCCAACTTCTAAACTGTCATCACCCTGACTCTAACCATTAACCTCGCTTCACGCAGACTCTAACCAAACATCTCATCACCCCGACTCTAACTATTAACTTCCATTTACCCAGACTCTTACCATTAACCTCCTATCACACCGACTCTAACCATTAACCTCACATCACCCTGACTCTAACCATTAACCTGTCATCACCCTGACTATAACCATTAACCTCCCACCACCCAGACTCTTACCATTAACCTCCCATCACACCGGCTCTAACCACTAACCTCACATCATCCTGACTCAAACTATTTAACCAATTCTCTCCGATTCTAACCATTACCCTCTCACCACCCTAACTTTGACTTTTAACCGCACATCGTCCTGACACTAACCATTAACCTCCATTCCTGCCGAATTTAACAATTAACCTCATATCACCTCAGACTCTAACTTTTATCCTCCCATCACCCCG